GTGAGGTTCCTTCTATGTTGAGTTTAGTCCATGAGTGGTGGCGTCATTTCGTTGTTCGTGGTTGCAATGCACCGGCTTTGTTTCGAACGTTTTTTGTAAGCGTTGGACATCGTGTTGTTGGTCATGATCAACGCAATTCCGATTTACAGAAAGGTTGTGTCCTGCACACATACAGTCGTAGATGGTTCAATACGGGAGTCCTATTTTTTGCTTCAGCAGGCCATCGTCTGTGGCCGCTTTGGAAGCCCCTGGGGTTCTGCCGGGGCCTTCTTGGGGCCCTCCCTGAGGGCACCGATTGAAAACGAAAGGCCTTGTGTTAGGCCTCACCCCGCCAGGCCCCGGGTCCATCGCCTCCAGTGGGCGGCTTGAATAAGGAACACTTACTTTTCAAAAGGGGCTCGGTCGTTCCTTAGGCTTGCACGCGTTATTTACAGTTCCTGATGCGTTATTTGTTGTCTATCGTTCCTCTATGCGCTATTCCTTGGGATCAAAAAGGGGCTTCGTTCCTTATCTATCGCTCCTGAGGTCAGGCCGATGACTGTCTTGGTCCGTTGGGCGCCCTTTGGCGCTCGGGAGGGGGGCGCAGCGAAGGCGCAGTGGCCCAAGCTTGGGGCCCTCTCTTGCGCGGTCTTCGAGAGCCATCCTCGCCCACGCGCAGAGGGGCATGTGGGGGAGGGGGGGAGGCGTCTTGGAAACACCCCTGCTTACGTTGCATCTTCGGGGGGCCTCGCCTGTCCCCAAAATTGGTGTCTTTTTTTGTACCCGACGCAGGCTCGATGCGGACTCGGCGCAGATTTGGCGTGAATCCGACGCGGATTCGACACGGTTTCGACACGGATCCGACGAGTCCGACACGGATTCGACGCGGATAGGGCCGCGACGGGACAGACAAGGCCCACCGAGGCTGCAACATAACCCTGCTTATCAGAAGGCGCGGGCCATCTGTATAGATGTAATTCCAGCGCCTTCTCAGAAGCAGCCTCCTTCTAAGGATCCTTCTCCCCACCCCCTATACCGCTTCGTGCGCGCCGCCAGCCTCTTGCGCGGTCTTCGAGTCATCTGGGGCTTCTGGTGCCCATGGGGAGCGACAGAGCGAGAGCGCAGCACACGTTCGAACACGTTCAGCATTTGAATAATGAGGCTTCTTGGGGGTGTCCTTGGGCTCCGAGGCCACTTGGGGCCGTCTTATGGTGGTCGTATTGCTTCTTGGAGGCATGCTGGATGCCATATTGGGATAGCTAACGCCATACTTGTCGCCATATGTGGCTTAAAGCGTCCCCGGAATGCCCCCGAGAGGTCAAATTTCGTCAACCGTCCCACAAAGCGGAGGGTCGTCCAGTAGTCCCACTCGAGTCCGACTGAGAGTTTCTTGAGGCCTTGTTGGGGCGGTCTTGGGGCACTATCTTGGGCTCTGCCGTCTTGAATTCAGTCTATGGGTCTTTCTCTCAGGGCCCTCTTGGACGACTTGGAGCGCGAGAAGGCAACAACCACTGAACGACCACGTGTCCCCCGAGTGAGCTTGGCACATTGGGAGTACTGTGAGGGATCCCGACGCACAGCAGCCACACCAAACAAGAATTTGCCATGCCAACGGACGCCCCATGGGAAAGTGTTCTCTCCCGACCGTCCCCCCCCCCCCGAGCCCTTCGGCACAGTACTGTCAACCCGCGTAAATAGTCAGGATGGGCAACTTTCCCAAGGGTATCCTTGCATCCTTGCCTCTTCGGTCCATCCGTGGCCATCGCCCCCTTCGGACGGCCTCGAGACGGCCCTTGCATCCTCATCGTGTGCATCCTGAAGCCCAGGGTCGACGGAGGATGTGCCCTTCGGTTCCGGACGGCAAGTCGCTGGACGTGCCCACCGCATCGGAAGCGGGTCGAAGGACAGATGGGTTCGTCCCGCCATTCTGCATGCCACGCCGGGCTCCGGGGGGCCTCCCCGGGGCCAGCCGTGGGGACCCGCAGGGACGGCTGGGGGTCCGCCCCAGTCGGGGCAGGTCTGTGGGCGACGAGCCGTAATCAGCGGAGGGAGCACTCGAGGAGGGGTCCCACACGGCCGGTCCGGCAGGATAGGTCTAGGATTGGCGTCACCCCAACATACTCATACGATATGTGCGTCGCCCCCCCAGGGGCGACGCGCGCACCGAGAAATTTGATAGTATATGCGTCGTGGCAAGCGCTTTCTGGCCACACCGCTATAGGGAAACGATATACTACAAGATGGGTATATTATATGTTCGGCTCGGACGCGCGCCTCCAAGGTGGACATGTAGTACTAGTATGCCTCTGCGCGTCCCACAGGAGGGGAAGTCGGGCGCTCCGCACTCATTGGGTGGGGGAGGGGCGACGGTCCTTTCTCGAGAGTGGACAGAACCCCCAACAGTGACACGTCGATTAGTGAATTGTCCGTTTTCGGTTCTCGAGAGGGCGCCGTGGCCGTTATTTTCCAGGCTTGCGCCCGCCAGGTTTGGGCCTCAGGCCGTTTTCACTAAACCACGTTTTACTAAAGGGGGGTCTGTCCATCCCCGACTTTCGGGGGAGAGAAAGACACCGACACCGCGAATCGTCCTGGAGAGTCGTCGTCGCCACAGCCGGATTCTCGTGTCGAAGCCCTGGTCAGGGAGCGCCCCGCGAGGTGTCTGGGAAAAGTTAAGGTCTCGGTCCTTTCTCTTGCTGCTCCCGCCCGCACGGGGAGGGGGTGGGCGGGTTCGAAGGAGGAAAACACGTTCGAGGAGGAGGAACAGGAGGACGAGGAGGAGGAGGAGGAGGAGGAGGATGAGGAGGAGGAGGAGGAGGAGAAACAATGAGAAAAACGGGCGCAGGTTTCTTGGATCCACGCTGGCCTCCGCCGGCGGCGCCTCCGGCGCCGCCCCTGGCGCGCTCCGCGCGCCAGGGAGGGGGGCCAGCGCAGGTCCAGGAAATCCGCGCGGACGGTCGACAGCTCATGTTTATGCCGTTCTCCTTCCTTCCAGGGGGCGCCGGAAGGGAGGCCACAGAGGGGCCCCGAAGGCGCACGCCGGGGAGCTCCTCTCTCTCCCTCCCGCCCGTGCACGTCGCTCCCCCCTTTGGAGCAAGGACCGAGGGCAGGGGCCGTTCGGAGGGCCGTTCGGGGGGGGGGGAAGCATCGATCTGGAATCAGCGATGCGTCGCCGATGGATCGGCAATGGGCCCCCGACAGCGAATCCGTGCACTCCTGGAGAGCGCTGGTCTATAGGAATCGCGCTCTCTCGCCTGAGACTGCCTCGCCATTCTCATTCCGACGCCGCGCCCTCGACGCTCAGGCGTCCTGCTCTCGCTCTGGGCCTTTCTCACCAGCTGCTGGGGAGGGATCGCGCCGTCGCTCGAGCTCTCCTCGCGCAGTAAACCGCGCGTCGGCAGCACGCCTCCTCGACCGTCCGACCCGGCCGAGGGGGCCGTTCGAGGCGCGGGGCCCGGCGGCGTGCTGCAGGCTCGCGGTGGGAGCGGCAGCAGCAGCAGCAGCAGCAGCAGCAGCAGCGGCAGCGGCGCCGGCGGCAGCAGCTCGGGGGGCCCCCTGCTGAGCGGTGCGGAGGCCGCGCCGCGTGGTGCGTCCGCGGGGCAGCGGGGCCCCCGCACGGCCTCCTCGGGGGCGCGGGGCGCGGGCCGCTGTCCGCGAGGGCGCCTCGGGCGACGGGGGCCTCTCGAGGGTCGCCGTGCGGTGACGGACCGTGCGGTGAGGCTTTCGGGGGTGGCGCGGTCCCCGCGCGGTCCGTCACCGCTCGGGTATAGCCAGGACCCCGGGTGAGGGGACCCGGTGGTGAGTGGTAGGGCCCTGGGGCCCCTCAATTAGCCAGATCCACCAAACCAGGTTTGCCGGAATCGTTGTTTTTCGGGTGACGGCAGTTCCGGTTAGCGGAACGGGGCGGGGTGGGGGGGCGCCCCCCGGTACGCATCACTAAACCAGGTTCCACTAAACCCAGTTCCGCCAACGCCCGAACCGCACCTCCTTGGGGCCCCCAAGAGGGGGGGAGGCGCGGATCTGGCGAGGTCGGGCTGCGCAGGCCAATGTTCGCCACAGAGGAAGCACATGAAGGGTCCTGCGGGCAACGGGGTCTGAGGTTTCTGGGGGCTCTCGGGGCCTCAGGCGGGCCCCTGGCGACCGTCACAAGCCAACTCGGGACGGGACGAACAGCTGGTCCAGGACCCATTTTTCTCAGGACCCGTTTCTTTCATGGCAATGCGTGGCCAGGAGGTCGGCCTTTGGGCCGAAGAGCGGGCCGTGAGGAGGAGGGGGAGCAGGAGGAGGAGGAGGAGGAAGAAGAGGAGGAGGAGGGGGAGGAGGAGGAGGAGGAGGAATAGGAGGGGGAGGAGGAGGAGAGGAGGAGGAGGAGGAGGAGGAGGGGGAAGAGGGGGAGGAGGAGTGGGAGGAGGAGAAGGATGAAAAGGAGGAGCACTAGGACGAGGAGGAGGAGGAGGACGACGAGGGGGAGGAGGAGCACTAGGACGAGGAGGAGGAGGAGAAGGAGGAGGACGAGGGGGAGGAGGAGGAGGACGAGGAGAAGGAAGGAGGGTGCTGCTCTGGCCCGCCAGTGGGCGGTGAGGCGCGGGCGAAGTGAGACCACATGGTGCGGACAGGGGGCGTGGATTAGCGACGAGTCACGCTTCCATTGGAAATCGCGGATTTCCGCCGCCAAGCGAGGCGGCACGGGTCGCATTTTGGGGAGGGCATCTCCCCCGATCCATGGATTTGGCGACCGCGCGCCCAATGCATGCATCGCTAATATATGTGTGCGCGTCCCCGAGAGAAGGAGGTAGCGGTAGGGCGTGTGGCGTTGAGGTGCGAAGGTGGAGTTCGAGGGTGGAGGACGCAGGGCGGATGCCCGGGACACGCTGAAGTGAGGACATTGCTCGTGGATGCACAACATGCGTACGGATGGAGGGAAATGGCTCTGCGCCCCCAACGTGATATCCCCGGAAGTTGTTTCAAGACACAAGTGCAGATGTCTTAGTGATGGAATCTTGCTGGGCCGAATCACCGCACAGGTGAGTTCAAGGACGTTATCCGCTACGCCTTCACAAACTTCGACGAGAATGGCGACGGCAAGATCAGCTTCGAGGAGTTCTGCCTAGCCTGTCGGACACTGGGCGTCACCTTGAGCGCCGAGAAGTATGAGAAGATCTTCAACGTGCTCGCACGAGGCGGTGACTATATCAAGCCGGAGGAGTCAAGTCAGGAGGCGTGGCAGAGCTTCGGCCAGGGATTCGACGCGGCTCTGAGGGCGCAGTACAAGAACAAGGGCTTTGCAAGAGCACAGTTTGTCCTCAATGAGGTCGGTGACCAATGGAATCGAGAACAGAACCTGCCACTTCCAGAGAGGGTAGGGAGAGCAGCAACGCTGTTTTGGAATCAGGCGGAAAGCCTCTCGGACCTGGTCGAGTTTCTACTTGACCTGGTTGGTGTCGGCATCGCTTTAGGCTCTATCAACGAAGAGCTGGGGTGCCTCCCGAACTGTAAAGAGGAAGTGGATGTCGCCAACTTGATCCCCTTGGTTTTTCTTCTGCGAAAGAGTTTGAGTGACGTGCTGAAGGAGGTCAGTGATAATTACGTCCAGGACCTGGATCAGGACACAGCGGTGGCATTCGCAACTGTGTTCAAGCCCGCAGGGGTGAAGCTGACTGCTTTCATGAAGATCCGCAGCCAGGGCGCACAGTGGCAGAACATCAGCCGAGGCCAGATGCACTGTATACCTTGCGCCCTCCTGCTCCTCCTCCTCCTCCGCCTCCTCCTCCTCCTCCTCCTCCTCCTCCTACTCCTCCACTTCCTACTCCTCTTCCCCCGTGTCCTTCTCCATCGAGGCCAAGAGGTGTCTTACCGCAGCACCGCCAACGGCAACACGCTGCAGCTCATCGTCCGAGGCTCGATGAGCCTCATCGCCCAGGGCAACGTGGCCGGCCTCAGCGAAACCGTGGCCGTCTTGAAGACGGGTTCCTTCATCGGCGGCGCTCAGTTCATAGGTGCTGAACTACTTCTTCTCGTTAAGGGCGTAATGATGTCTGCTGTCTTTGGACGGGCGCTGGGCCATCCACGATTTTCTCCAGATTTCCCTGCTCGGGTTTTTGGATGCACGCAGACGTTATCCGGGTTCCTGTCGGCTCACTTGAATGCACCCGTCTTGATTTCCCCATTTCGAGTGGAGAAAAGTCGCCAAGGCCTTATGAAGTTTATCATGAAGTGATGTGGGGAGTGCCCAGGTGCGCCCCTGGGTATCTCGGCTCGGTGGCCAGTGGCGCTCCTCTGCAGCCCTCCCCACAGAGAGGCTCCCACGCACCCCTACAGCGAGTGGTCGCCCGAACGCCAGGTCAGCTTTTGTGCTCAGGGTGTCTCTGGCCTTGTGTCTGCACTCCCAGGAATACCTGATCGGACCACCTGGTGCTCCTCCTCCTCCTGCTCCTGCTCCTCATCCTCCTCCTTCTCCTCCGCCTCCTCCTCCTCCTCTTCCTCCGCCTCCTCCTCCTGCCCATCCTCCTCTTGCTCCCCAGACTGCCAACGTCGTGAGGTCGTCTCTTGATCGACCTCCATATTTTTGTTGTTGGCCTCGCGGTCAGTCTGCACTGGGCTGGTTGCTCTGGCCCCACCACCTGTCGGGACGGGGGACTGGTTGCGGAGCCTCCTCCAAAAACTGAGAGCCCCAACAACCACAGTCGGGGCCCTGAAGAAGGAACCCTTTTCGTTGGGGAGGGGCTCCGCGTTCCTTATGTGTTTCGCAGCTTGCCTGAGGTTTTCCTTATGTTTTCAATCGGAAATCGAAATGCGACGTATGGAAAAAGGGGCCTCGTTCCTCATTTTGGGTTCCTTAGGTCAAGGCCCCGACTGTACAGAGTGCTCATGTCTAATTCGTGTGCTGCACGTGGCCTCCGCCGCCCCTTCGGCGCGCTTCATTTCTAATTCGTGGCCGGAATTGCAAATGACCGGAATTAGAACTGAACGCGCTTGTTAGGCCCTGGAGGCCCCAGGGCAAATGCATTCGAGCGCGCGCCCGAGTCTGGATCTGGGGCGCGCCACCCTCGATCGGGCACGCGTAGACGTGACGCGCAAATCCTGCGTGTCGCGTACACGTGACACGCAAAATCTGCGTGTCACACGGAGCGCGCCTGGGCGGGACACGCAGAATCAGGGGGGCGGACACGCAAAATCTGCGTGTCGCACGCCGGGGGTCCGGGGGCCGGGGTGGGGACACCACGCAGAATCTGCGTGTCACGCGGGCCCCACCAGGGGGGCGGACACGCAGAATCTGCGCGTCGCACGCCGGGGGTCCGGGGGCCAGGGTGGGGACACGCAGAATCTGCGTGTCGCACGCCGGGGGTCCGGGGGCCGGGGTGGGGACACGCAGAATCTGCGTGTCACGCGGGCCCAAAATCTGCGTGTCGCACGCCGGGGGTCTGGGGGCCGGGGTGGTGACACGCAGAATCTGCGTGTCACGCGGCCCCACCAGGAGGGCGGACACGCAGAATCTGCGTGTCGCACGCCGGGGGTCCGGGGCCGGGGTGGGGACACGCAGAATCTGCGTGTCACGCGGGCCCAAAATCTGCGCGTCGCACGCCGGGGGTCCGGGAGCCTGGGTGGGGACACGCAGAATCTGCGTGTCACGCGGGCCCCGCCAGGGGGGCGGACACGCAGAATCAGTGTGTCGCACGCCAAGGGTTTGGGGGCCGGGGTGGGGACACGCAGAATCTGCGTGTCACGCGGGCCCAAAATCTGCGTGTCGCACGCCGGGGGCCCGGGGGCCGGGGTGGGGACATGCAGAATCTGCGTGTCACGCGGGCCCCGCCAGGGGGGCGGACTTGCAGAATCTGCGTGTCGCACGCCAAGGGTGCTGGGGGCCGGGGTGGGGACATGCAGAATCTGCGTGTCACGCGGGCCCAGAATCTGCGTGATGCACGCCGGGGGCCCGGGGGCCGGGGTGGGGACACGCAGAATCTGCGTGTCACGCGGGGGGCGGACACGCAGAATCTGTGTGTGTCGCACGCCAAGGGTCCGGGGGCCGGGGTGGGGACACGCAGAATCTGCGTGTCACACGGGCCCAAAATCTGCCTTTCGCGTCCCCCGGGTGCCAGGGTGGGGACACGCAGAATCTGCGTGTCACGCGGGCCCCGCCAAGGGGGCGGACACGCAGAATCTGTCTGTCGCACGCCAAGGGTCCTGGGGGCCGGGGTGGGGACATGCAGGATCTGCGTGTCACGCGGGCCCAAAATCTGCGCGATGCACGCCGAGGGGCCCGGGGGCTGGGGTGGGGACGCAGAATCTGCGTGTCACGCGGGCCCCACCAGCTGGGTGGACACGCAGAATCTGCGTGTTGCACGCTGGGCGTCCTGGAGGCCGGGGTGGGGACACGCAGAATCTGCGTGTCACGCGCGCCCAAAATCTGCGTGTCGCACGCTGGGGGTCCGGGGGCCGGGGTGGGGACACGCAGAATCTGCGTGTCACGCGGGCCCCGCCAGGGGGGCGGACACGCAGAATCTGCGTGTCGCACGCCGGGGGGGGCCGGGGTGGGGGCTCACGCGGGCCCAAAATCTGCGCACGCCGGGGGCCCGGGGGCCGGGGTGGGGACACGCAGAATCTGCGTGTCACGCGGGCCCCGCCAGCTGGGAGGCGGACGCGCAAAATCTGCGCGTCGCACGCGGGGGGTCCTGGGGGCCCGGGTGGGGACACGCAGAATCTGCGTGTCACGCGGGCCCAGAATCTGCGTGTCGCACGCTGGGGGTCCGGGGGCCGGGGTGGGGACACGCAGAATTTGCGTGTCACGCGGGCCCCGCCAGGGGGGCGGACGCGCAGAATCTGCGTGTCGCACGCCAAGGGTCCTGGGGCCGGGGTGGGGACACGCAGAATCGACTGCGTGTCACGCGGGCCCAAAATCTGCGCGTCGCACGCCGGGGGCCCGGGGGCCGGGGTGGGGACACGCAGAATCTGCGTGTCACGCGGGCCCCGCCAGGGGGGCGGACTTGCAGAATCTGCGTGTCGCACGCCAAGGGTGCTGGGGGCCGGGGTGGGGACACGCAGAATCTGCGTGTCACGCGGGCCCAAAGTCTGCGTGACGCACGCCGGGGTCCGGGGGCCGGGGTGGGGACACGGAGAATCTGCGTGTCACGCGGGCCCCGCCAGGGGGGCGGACACGCATAATCTGCGTGTCGCACGCCAAGGGTCCTGGGGCCGGGGTGGGGACACGCAGAATCTGCGTGTCACGCGGGCCCAAAATCTGCGTGTCGCACGCCGGGGGGCCGGGGGCCGGGGTGGGGACACACAGAATCTGCGTGTCACGCGGGCACCGCCAGGGGGGCGGACACCCAGAACCTGCGCGGGACACGCAGAATCTGCGTGTCACGCGGGCCCAGGGTCTGCGCGTCGCACTCCGGGGGTCCGGGGGCCGTGGTGGGGACACGCAGAATCTGCGTGTTACGCGGGCCTCGCCAGGGGAGCGGACACGCAGAAGCTGCGTGTCGCACGCCAAGGGTCCTGGGGGCTGGGGTGGGGACTCGCAGAATTTGCGTGTCACGCGGGCCCAAAATCTGCGCATCCCACGCTGGGTGCCCGGGGGCCTGGGTGGGGGCACGCAGAATCTGCGTGTCACGCGGGCCCCGCCAGGGGGGGGGACACGCAGAAGCTGCGTGTCGCACGCCAGGGGTCCTGGGGGCCGGGGTGGGGACACGCGCAATCTGCGTGTCACGCCGGCCCAAAATCTGCGCACGCAGAATCTGCGTGTCACGCGGGCCCCGCCAGGGGGGGAGGACACGCAGGACCTGCGTGTCGCACGCCGGTCCTGCGGGCCGGGGTTGGGACACGCAGAATCTGCGTGTCACGCGAGCCCAAAATCTGCGCGTCGCACGCCAGGAGCCCGGGGGCCGGGGTGGGGGCACGCAGAATCTGCGTGTCGGGGCCGGGATGGGGACACGCAGAATCTGCGTGTCACGCGGGCCCAAAATCTGCATGTCGCACGCCGGGGGTCCGGGGTCCGAGGTGGGGACACGCAGAATCTGCGTGTCACGCGGGCCCAAAATCTGTGTGTCGCACGCCGGGGGTCCGGGGGGCCGGGGTGGGGACACGCAGAATCTGCGTGTCACGCGGGCCACGCCACGGGGGCGGACACGCAGGATTTGCGTGTCACGTCTACGCGACACGCCAATCCTGCGTGTCACGTCACACGGAACGCGCTCGGGGCGGCGTCGCGTAAGTAATTAAACGTGACACGCAAATCCTGCGTGTCACCTGGAACGCGCTCTGGGCGGCCGGGCGACGCGACACGCAGAATCTGCGTGTCGCGTAGACGTGGCACGCAAATCCTGCGTGTCACACGGAACGGCGACGACGTTGTTGTTGCCGTTATTCTTGTGATCTTTTACGAGCGTAAGCAGAAGCTGCGCCCTGCCGCCTTGGAGACACTTTGGGCGTAGCGCTTGAGCACATGCCTTCCCGTCGGCACCTCTCATTTGCAATTCGTGGCCGGAATTGGAAATGACCGGAATTACAAATGACCGGAATTACAAATGAGTGCTCTGCGGACAGAGGCGGCACAAAAAACCGGGCCGCGGATGGAACACATCGTACCCGCGCAGGTCTGAGCGGTCTGCAGATCGCTCTCCGAGCGTTCCGGAGCGCCGTGGAAGGGCCGCGGCGCCCCTATCTCATCTCCCAGGCCCGCAGGCTCTCGGAGATCCCGCCGTTGTCATCCTCCTCCTCCTCCTCCTCCTCCTCTCCTCCTCCTCCTCCTCCTCCTCCTCCTCCTCCCCCATCCTCCTCCTCCTCCTCCTCCTCCTCCTCCTCCTCCTCCTCCTCCTCCTCCTCCTCCTCCGGCGCCGCTCGTGTGCGGAAGACACGTCCGTGTGCGCGTCCGCTGGCTGGGCCCCCAGACCGCGACCCCCGTGACCCGTGGACGCGGGGCGTTTTGGATCGCGTGCGCCCGGCGCGGAACGCATCCATGCGACCGCGCATTCGCGGGAGCGCGCCTCAGAATTTCGATTGCGAGGGCGCAGATGTGGATACGTTCGCCGCTCGTGAGTCGCCTCGTGGCGCCCCCCCCCCTCAGCCCAGGTGCCGAGGACGGCCTCGTCTCAGGCAGGGGCAGCAGCTCGCTGCTGGCGAACGACGACGTGCTGCTCCTCAAGTGGCCCGACGCGGGCAGGAGAGCGTTTGTTTAATTCCCGTGCGATAGTGGGCGTGACCGAGGGGGCGGTGGGCGTGACCGAGGGGGCGGTCGCGCCGAGTCTGGGAATGCTTGGGAATAGCTTGCAAGACAGCTCGGAGGTCAGCACGGACCGTGGCGTTGCCCGGGAGGGAGGGGGGGGCGGCCGGGGCCCACAGCGACCGCTACAGTCAACCCGCGTAGCAAGGATGCGCGACTTTCCGAATTTACGCTTGCAGCCTTTCCCCTCGGCCCATCCCTGGCAGCTTTCGCTAACCGCGCCCCGCTCGCAAAGGACCAACAGGGCCCTCAAAGGCCCTTGCATGCTTATCGCGCGTCCTTCGTCTACGGGTTGGCTGTAGTTGGGGTCGCAGTATGCGAGAGCCGTCGGCCCGTGGCCGCAACGCCCTCATTCTTCTTGCACATGCTGCGGCAGCGAATGCTCGTTCTCCTCCCCATGTCCTCCTCATCCTCCTCCTCCTCGTGCTCGTCCTACCCCTTCTCCTTCTCCGCCTCCTCCTCCTCCTCATCCTTCTTCCTCCTCCTCCTCCTCCTCCTCCTCCTCCTTCTCCGCCTCCTCCCTCCTCATCCTTCCTCCTCCTCCTCATTCTCCTCCTCCTTCTCCTCCTCCTCCTCCTCATCCCCCTTCTTCTCCTCCTCCTCCTCCTCCTCCTCCTCCTCCTCCTTCTCCTCCTCCTCCTCCTCCTCCTCCTCCTCCTCCTCCTCCTCCTCTTGCTCCCCAGACTGCCGACGTCGTGAGGCCGTCTCTTGATCGGGCTCCCCCTGCCCGCAACGAGCTTTCAGAGGCAGTTATTCTTCGGCCCAAACGGGCGCCGCGGTGGACCGTCTTCTGCGCTCGGGAACACCAAACATGAATCCGAGACGATACATTTCTGCTGGGGAAGCGGGCAGAACCTCAATAATTTGTGGCATCGAGGTCAATCTGCGCTGTGCTAGTTGCTCTGGCTCCCCCACCTTGTGGGACGGTGGACCGGTTGCTGCGTTGAGCCTCCTCCGAATCGAGAGCCCAAAGCTGAGTGTGTGTTCCTCCTCCTCCTCCTCCTCCTCCTCCTCCTTCTCCTCCTCCTCCTTCGTTATCCTCCTCTTTCTCCACTTTCTCCTCTTCTTTCTCCTCCCCCTTCTCCAGGCTGAAGAACTTCCTCAGCGTCTACGAAAGCCTCCGGACGCAGTTCACGTCCGTCATCGTGAGGCCCGCGAGTGGGCTTCCGGCGGGGACGGGCGGTCGGGCCGGGGAGGGACGGCGCGGCGTGGGAGAGGTGTCTGGGCCACCCGTTCCTCCCGAGCCTCCTCCCTCCTGGCTCCTGATCCTCCTCCCTCCTCCTCCCCCTCCTCCTCCTCCTCCTCCTCCTCCTCCTCCTCCTCCTCCTCCTCCTCCTCTCCTCCTCCTCCTCCTCCTCCTCTCCCCCCTCCTCCTCCTCCTCCTCCTCCTCTCCTCCCCCCTCCTTCCTCCTCCTCCTCCTCCTCTCCTCCTCCTCCTCCTCCTCCTCTCTCCTCCTCCTCCTCCTCCTCCTTCCTCCTCGCTCTCCTCCTCCTCCTCCTCCTCCTCCTCCTCCTCCTCCGCCTCTTCCTCCTCCTGCTCATCCTTTTCCCCCTCCTCCTTCTCCTTTTCGTCCTCCCCCGCTTCCGTAGCTATTTTTGGCTCAAGACCATGAGCTCCGCAGGGAAACAAGTGGCTACCGCTAGTCCGCGGCCAGACCCCGATATGCATGTTTCCGTTCCTGCTTCGCCCATCGTCATGCCCGAGCTGGTCGCCAAGCGTGATAGCCTCCCAATCCAGCCCCCTCCCCCCAATCCTCACACCCCTCCCTTGCCGCCCCCGCCCCAGAACAGTTCTTCTGAACCAGGCGAGGGCCCCCCCTTCTCCCCCCCCGGAGGCTGGGACTTGCCCCCACACAACTTCTGCAGCGATTCTGGCCACGACGCGAGGAGGTCCAAGGCCGCGCAGCGCCGCAAGAAGAAGCCTCGTCGTGCGGATGGTGGTACCTCTTCCTGGTGCCAGCGACAGCCCTGGCTCCTCCGGCCGTGGGGTCAACGGACCTGGTGGTGCAGGACCTCCTCCACGGCCATGGCTCTGGTCATGGCTCTCCCGCTGCTGGTCATGGCTCTCCCGCTCTTGTCCCTATTCACAGTGGTGCTGGCGTGGACGACGAGCAGATGGGGAATGGGGATGATGATGGCGATGGACAGGCCGAGTACTTTCACCTCCTCGCCAAGGAGGAGACCACCCGCCTCCACGTGGAATACAAGCAGTCCATGTTGGACTCCATCACGAACGCGGTCGACGACGTCGTCCTTCCCTTCGCGGCGCAACTCGAGGCCCATGGCCACTCCGCCGCGAAGCTCGCTGAGGGTGTCCGCGACCGGCCCAAGATGGTGGACGAAGCCGTTTCTAATCGCGCTGATGGTCAGCATCGTCGGCTTCAGCAGCAGATCGACGGGCTTCACCGTGCGGATGCGCGCTGCCGAGTCCCGTCTTGTCGATCACGACTCCTCCATCGCTTCCCTCCGCTCCGAGATCAAGCAGCTTCACGACCTCCGCATGGTCGCCAACTCCGCCCCGAAGGAGCCACCAGGCAACGCGGCTGGCTTCGCGAGGGGCACCGACCCCACCATCATCCGCGTCATGGCGCAGAAGGCTACCCCTTCTGGCCGCTGTGAAGCAGGTCATCTCCGAGTGGATCGTCGAGGTGCCGCGAAGTAACCAATCCAGCGGCAGACGCATGGGCATCATGACTCTAGCAGCATTTGCAAACGCTAGCCAGCGCACTGCTGCTCGTCGTCTGGCGCCGACTAGCATTCGCATCGTCCGAGCCGGCCAGGAGGTCGGTGATGACGGTGCTCATCTGGGCCATGGTCGCGTTCTGGGCTCTCAACTTGGCCTTGGGCGCAGACCTCACCGCTGCAAGTCGCGCTTTTCTGGGCCTGGGGAGTGGCGCGACCATAGGTTGGCGCCGTCGCTGTAGTCGTTGGAGTCGTAGTCGTCTTTGCCGCCTTGGATACGCGACTTCGCGAGGCTCCTCCTCCTCCTTTTCCTGCCCCGTCTCCTCCTCCTGCTCCTGCTCCTCTGTCCGATCCTCGTCCTTCGCTCCTCCTGCTCCACCTATGGACGGAGGGGGGTGGCAAGGCAACGGAGGTGAAGGTGGACGGGTGTCGGAGGAGGCAGGAGGAGCAGGATGACGATGTGGACGAGGCGGCCGAAGAGGGTGCGGCGGGTGGAGGATGGAGGAGGAGGAGGAGGAGGAGGAGGAGGAGGAGGAGGAGGAGGACCGAGGAGCAGGAGAAGGAAGGGAGGAGGGAGTGAGAGGGGGAGGGAGGGAAGGAAGGAGGGAGGAGGGAGAGAGAAGGGAGAAGAGAGGAGGGAGGAAGGAGGGAGGGAGGAAGAAGGGATGAGTGAGGAGAGAGGAGGGAAAGAGAAAAAGGGAGCATGGAGGGAGGAGGAGGGAGGAGGGAAGAGGGAGGGCGAAGGAGGAGGGGGAGAGAGAGAATGGCATCGTGAGGTCCATAGCCGCCAACATGAGCCAAGTGACCAAGCAGTCGAGGAAGTTCGCCACGGAGCTGCCAATGGTGTTCCGGAATTTCACGATCGGGCTTGCGGCCACGTTCCAGGCGGACCGGGCGACCGTGTGGATCCACAGCCCCGCGAAGAACTCGCTCTGGACGTGGTTCGTGAGCGAGGCGGGGAAGACGACGTACGTCAGCATCCCCGCCCAGACGGGCCTGGTAGGATCAAGAGGGAAAGAAACACACAGACACAATTAATCAGCGATTCCCTAGAAAATATCGAAAAATATGGGAAGTGGTGGGGAAGACAAAAACCCAGAAAATATATGAAAATACGGGGGATCTTTTTTGATTTGTGTGTCCTTGGGCCCCTTCAAGGAGTCGCGTTCACGGAGAAGTCGGACCTGAACATCCCGGATTGCTACAAGGATGACAGGCTCTGGGCGGCGCGCAACGTGGGGCGATAGTTGGGGGGGCAGCGAGGATTGCCGAAAAAAGGGGCTCTTTCGGGCTCCTACAGGGCCCCTCTCCGGCCCCAAAGGAGGCATTTGCGGCCCGAGAAGTGCACCTTTCACCCCCCACAGTTTCCGCCCCCCCATTAAGCGACGCCCAACAGGTTCAACAAGGAGGTGGACAAGAAGACTGGCTACTACACGAAGAGCATGCTCTGCGTGCCCGTCTTCAGGGAGGCGTCCGAGGAGGACCTGGTCTTCGACGAGCCCGCCGAGCAGGAGCAGGTCATCGGAGTGGTGCAGCTCATCAACAAGATGTCGAGCGAGCCGCCGTCTCGGAATGCCTCGATCCAGTGACCTATGAGTTAGATGTTCGTTTGAGGGACCTTTCTAGGGCCCACCTAAAGTCGGAGGTTGATAAACCTCCTACCCTCACACGTTGATTAAGGAATTTGCCGTTTTCGGTTCGCGAGAGGGCGTCGCGGCCGTCGCTTTCGCGGGTCCAGGTCCGTCGGTTTCGGTCCCAGGCCGTTTTCACGAAGGGGAGGTTTACTAAAGGGAGATTTGTCCACCGCCGATAAAGTCGAGCATATGATTAAGAAGCCTCGCGAGAAGCTGGGCCAGCGTTTCTTGACAAGCTTGCCCAGAAGCAGGCCCAGTTCCTGGGGCGCGTTCGCCCCTCGAGGCGTTCACACGAACGTTTGGCCCGGGCTTGTCTTTGAGAGCTTTCTGGAAAGCTGGCCCAGGTCGGGGGCGGCAAAGAGGGGGGTGATGACTAGGGGGGGTGGACATCATGGCGTGGGCCATGATATCTCCCCAGATTTCATGGCGCCTCTTCTTGTTTCTTAGCGTCCCTGGCCCCCCCGCTGGGCCGCGCACATGCCGCCGGTCATGAGTTGCACCCCCCCCTCTTGGACACCCCCCTCTTGGCCGCTCCCGACCAGGGTTCTTAGAAAATGCTTCTCTTGATCCGATGTTCGGCTGCAACGGATCCGTTCGACTCTAGTTCGATTGCAGCTCGACTCAAGTTCGACTCGGCTTCGTCTCAAGTTCGACCCAGGTCGACTGACGTTCGACGCAGCATCGACGCATGAGTGGAGCGAGTGGCATCAGGAAGGTCCCCAGAACGAGCATCTACTATGAGCAACATCTCGAAGGCCTCGCGCGGCGCGCAATGATGCCGATCTGGAACGACGTTCTCGCCCTCCCAAACATAGATGGGACGACGTCCGCGCGACGCTGCTCTGACGTAAGTCCGATCTAAGACCCACGTAGATCCGACGTAACTTCGACGTAGATCCGGCGTGGATCCGGCGTAAGTTGGGTCCCAAGTTGCCGCGCGAGGCCTGCAGGATCCTCCTCACGAGGTGACCGTGGGCCGGCTCGGCCGATCCCACGACTCGAATTGTGCTCGGTGGCGGTCGGATCGGGATTCTCGATCAGCAGAGTGAACTTCGGCTAGGGGGTGGAGCGGGCCCGCTTGGCCAGAGGCAGGATCGGGCCGCGGATCCGGGCGACCGGAACGCGCACGGAGAGAACGGGCACGAAGGAGCTTTGCAATGTCTGCCACTCCGGGACGTGCTCGCCCGGCCGCGGGACCTGGGACCATCACAGATCGATCCAACTCCAAGGATGCAGCAGAAAGATGGGGCGTAGGGCTCTGGACGGGATGTCTCGCGATGTTTCATGCTGAGTCCCCTGGCCAACAGCGGCCGCATTGGGTATTGGACAGCGTTTGCTGTTGGGCAGAGTCTGATTTGTTCTGTGTCCATTCTGGTCGTGACGAGCGGATCAGCCCAGATCGGGGTGGTATTTCTCCAAGGCCGTCTTCCAATTCGGAATACTGCAGTTTCACAGAAGCCGACACGCGCAGGATGTTCGAGATCCGCTGGACGTTACAGTTCATGATGAAGCAGCTCGGAAGTCGGGCTGGGGTCTGAGATAATTGCGTAGCTTCCCAATTTTCGCCTCTTCGTCATCCTTTTCGTCCTCCTCCCTCCTCCGTCCTCCATGCGTGGCCGTTTATGGTTCAATCCAGGCTTTCTGAAATACCGCCTCGAATGGTGCTGGGTTTGTGTTACACGTTTTCCACACCCGGCCATGGCGCCTTGCACGCTGTTAGCCAGGCTGGTGCTGCTACTGCGCTACCACGCTACCCGCTACCCTTCTGCGCTCATTGAACGCTTCTGCCTGGCGGATCGTCATCCGACTGATGGTTTCGGGCTGCAGTGGTAAGCGTGCAAGTGACCGTACATGCGTTCATGCGATTGCGTTTTTTTGCGTGAGGTCAGAGTTTGCATGCCTCGGCGTAGCCACAGTATTGGTTATCGCGATTGCGCTGCATGATGTTACGAACTTGGCGGACAAAACAAGCGCACATGGTAATGTGTTTCCTTGCGACCCCCTCGCTGGCGCCAGAAGCGGAGATCGCTTTTGAGTGTCTGCAGCAACGTCGTTTGTTGTGCACAGTCGTTGTCGATGAAGCTCGACTGTTGCTACAGGGCGGGGGCGAGACCCAGCTGGCGCTCGACCGCCTGCTCTTGCACGGGGCGTACCTGGACATCGAGAGCACGTTGCTTTGGGAGTTATCTAAGTGCACGGTATTGCCATTGTGAGCGTGTGTGCCGAGATCGAGGCCAGGGTCGGATGTGCAAGAGACGGCCGCGATGCACGATGGCAAACTCGTGGGGATCGAGGCCCAGTTGCAGGTGATGGACAGCAGGGTCGGCTCCCGCCTCTGGGGCTTCACAGCCGACATCCACGACTCCGAAGATGAGGCCCTGGAGCACCGCTCGTCGTCGGAGCTGGCGGCGATCTGCGTGGATGCCCGTGGCAAGCGAGCGGCTGGCCATCGCCAGGGTTTCCGCGGTCGCGCATCGCGAGTGGCACGTAGCTGGCTCCTGTGGAATCAGACGGCCGCCATCCGAGCGGATTGCGCCGACATGCCCGCGAGACACGTGCGTGTGATCGTACGTGCTGTGCGATGCCAGCAGGTTTGTTGGGCACTCCCTTGCTGCCTCTGCTGGCACCATTGGCATGCGCGCAGCAAAGCAGCGCTTCTTGAGCCAGGCGCTCGCAGAGTTGTCGCGACAGGACTCGGCGATCGCCCACATGCTCGCGCAGAGCGGCTCCTTGGAGACCTCCTCCTGCGCCGTATTGCGACCGTTTGCAGGCACTTTCAATGCAAACGCGCCAGCGCAGATGATCATCATAGCTGCACGGTCAGCACTTCCCCACCATGTGTTCCAGCTCGACTGGCACAGAGCAGGGTCGAGAGCGAGACTGGCTCACGACAGGAGCCTCGTCCACTGGCACGAGGGAATCGCGGTGGCGCCTAGTAAAAAATCTGGGAGGCACGCAGTCATGCAATTACCCATGGGCAGCCACTACGCTTGTCAATCTGGCGCCAAGCACGACAGGCCGGCTGGGCAGGTGAGGGAAGAGGTCGGCCAGGCAATCTTGGGTTGTGCACGACTGTGTGGGCGCCAAGGGCTTGAAGGTCGCCCGACAAGTGTTTGGGGGCCCAGCAAGGGCAGCGGCAGCATCAGCGGCGGCAATATGGCAGCCCAGCAGGGCGCTGGCTGGGAGGGGGGGAGGGGCGCACCCCGCATCAAGGACGGGCGGCGCGGCAAGTGAGCTCTCAGGAACAAGTTTTGATGACTTGTCAGTTGGGTTGGCAAAGGGCGAGATGAGGACGATTTACCAGGCAGGGGCTTGAGAGTCAACGCACGCAAGCCGCAACTCCACGAGCGCTTGGAGCCAGTCAAGCTCCTGCCAGGGGGTTATGTAAACAGTGGTTGGCCAGTCTTGTTTTGCAGCTAAGACGGGGCGAAGACAAAACGATGAACACCTAACACACAACGAACACGATCCAATGTTTAGGTCGAGCCCTGGTTCCTGCTACGTCCAATTCATTTCGCGACCCCCCTTTCACAAGTGCCCAACGTCCGAAAGAGCTTCTTCTGTCGCTGCTGACCAGGGGAGGATTGCAACCCGCATGTTGGACCAACCCCATCACTTCTCAACCAGCCAAAAAAAACAAGCGGGACCAATTACAGCCAGCCATCTTGAGCCGACAGTGGGATTCTTTGTGTAAAGCACTCGCACACGATTCAGGAATCAAATGCAGGTCCTCTGAGACTACATGCGTTCTGGGCGACAACTTGCGCTCCTTGGTTGAATTTGGCACAAGTGTCTTTCTGACATATGGAATTGTGTCGTGTTGAAAGTAAACAGTGGTCGGCAAATAAACTGGAGTTTCACGGCTGGCGAATGAGACGTTGTCTGATGTTGCACGACAGTTGCGTAAAGCTTCGCGTTATGCGGCTGTCGTGCTAGAGCTGAGGAAACCCCGCCAGCGAGAAGTACAACATTCAAAACGAAGTACGGATACCCATGCTGGTAATCTCATCAAATGGCATGTGAAGCCACAAGGCAGGCTTCACGTGCGCAAGTGGCTAACACGAGGTGCTACCTGCATCCAGCAACATGGTGTAAGAGTTAGTTCGCGCTGAATGTGTGAATGCAGTAAGGAACTCGCTGACCCCACCCCCCCGCATAATTTTGCAACGCCCCATGCTCGTGCAATCAGTATGTGTTAGGAAATGCGCCGACGCCACAGCCTTCCACCGACATTTTGAGCCATGCGTATATATATATATATATAGATCTATATATATATATATATGTGTCTGTGTACACATATATATATATATATATATATATATATATGTGCTTTCGGGGCGGCTTCAACACGATATGCGTTGACCACGGCCCCCCGCTGAAGGCTTTCCGTTTGCTTCGTTATGTATACAGCGGGGAAGCGGGGGCCGAGCGATTCGGCGGCAGCGGAAAGGGAAACCGGGGCCGAACGTTTCGGCGGCGACGGCGGAGGGCAAGGCGACTCGCTCAGCCACCCAGAGCCCCCCAATGGGCCCAGGGGCCTCCCCGAGACCGCGAGGGTGCGAAACCCTTCCATTAGAAGCGTCGCCTGCAAGGAAGGGCGGCGGGGAATTCGCGGGATGCCGCGCTGGCAAGGAAGGCGGCGGGGGCCCCCCCCCCATGGGTCCGGGGCCCCCCCGAGCTTCCGAGGGCGCGAATTTTTGCCGTCGGAGCCTTCGGGGGCTCAGAGAAACCCGCGCCGCGGGAAGGGGCGCGGGGCCCGAGCGACTCGGCGGCTACGGCGGCGGAGGGCGCGGTGATTCGCCAGCCCCGCCCCCCCCCCTACGGGTTCGCCCCCCCCCCCCCCCCCCCTCCCTCCCCGCGGCCCTGAGGTCGCGAAACGCGCCCATGGGAAGCGTCGCTTTCGGAGGCTCGGGGGGCACCGCGCCCGTAGGAAAGGATGCGGCTACCGAGCGACTCGGCGGCGGCAGCGGGGGGCGAAGCGACCCGCCCGGCGCCCCCCCCCCGCGCCGCGGCTTCGGGGGCCCCCCGAGCTTCCCAGGGCAAGGAACGCTCCCATTGCGCGCGTCGCCCTCGGGGGGGAGGCGAGCCCCCCTTTCCCCACCCGCCCCCGAGCTTCCGAAGGGGCGAAAAGCTTGCATGTCCAGCGCCACCCTCGTGGGCTCGGAGAAACCCGCGCCGCGGGAAGGGGCGCGGGGGCCGAGTGCATCGGCGGCGGCAGCGGAGGGCACGGCGATTTGTCCGGCCCGCCTTTCCCTCCCCATGCCCCCCCAATAGCTTCTGAGGCGCGAAACGTTTCAATTGGATGCGTCGCCCTCGGGGGCCTGGAGAAGTTTGCGCCCGCGGGGCGCGATGCGGAGGCCGAGCGACTCGGCGGCTGCGGTAGGGGACAAAGGTGACTCGTTCGGCCCGCCGTTCCCCCCCGGCGGTTCGGGCGGCCCGGAAGGCTACCGAACCCCAGAGGCCGTGAAACTCTTCCACTGGAAGCGTCGACGTCGGGGGCTCGGAGACCCCAGCGCCCTTTGGAGAGGAAGCGGGGGCCGAGCGACTCGGCGGCGGCAGCGCGGGGCAATGTAACCCGTCGGCCCCCCCTCCCCCTCCCTTCCCCGCGGGCCCGGGGCCCCGCCGCGCCCCTCACGGCGCGAAGCGCTGCGCTGAAAGCGCTGCCTTCGATGGCGTCGACGAACCCCGCGCCCGCGGGGAAGGAAGCGGGGCCGAGCGACTCGGCGGCCGCGGCGGGGGTGGTTCGGCCCCCCTCTCATTCCCCTCGGGCTCGGGAGCCCCCCCGCGCCCCCGAATTCACGCGGCGCGTCCATTGGAAGCGTCGCCGTCGTGCATGGGCTCGGAGAAACCCGCGCCCGCAGAAAAGGGAGCGGGGGCCGAGTGACTCGGCGGCTGCGGCGGGGGGCAAAGGCGGCTCTTTCGGCCCCCATCTTACTCCCCTTGGGTTCGGGCCCCCCTCGCGCCCCCGAATTCACGCGACGCTTCCATTAGAAGCGTTGCCGTCGGGGGGGCTCGGAGAAAACCGCGCCAGCAGGACAGGAAACGGGGGCCGAACGTCTCGGCGGCGGCAGCGGGGGGCCAGGTGACTCGTCTGGCCCCCTTCTCACTCCCCATGGGCACGGGGCCCCCCCGCCTCCCCGAATCTGGAACGGTTCCATTGGACCCGCTGCCCTCAGGAGCTTGGAGAGTCCCGCGCCCGCAAGAAAAGAAGCGAGCACCGAACGGCGTGCTCCATGGTTGATGTGGTGATTGGGCGCGCAAAGGCCTCTCAGTCCTTCCAATAGATTGAGCTAAGACATGGCTGCGGGGTCGGTTGCGGAGAACCTCGCCCGCCCTGCCAGCGCATTTCCCGCCGACCCGCGCGACCCACCCACTTCCATGCGCTGGGGTCGGGCAAATCCGCATTCGCGCCCGCGGCGCGCTGCGGAAGCGTGAGAATGGAGACGCCGCAGAGGACATCACATAGCGGTTTGTGTAATGCAGCATAACCGGTCCGGGGCCGTGCGAGACCATGGTGATCCAGCCGCGACCATGTCGTAATGATCCCACCAATCCTCCTCGTCCTCCTACCCCTCCTCTTCTTCCTCAGATTATCCCTCCTCTTCCTCATCGACTATGTGTGTTACTCGCTCCTCCCCCACACACCCCAATTTAAACATCCTCCTACTCCTCCTTTTCCTCCTCTTCCATCTCCTCCTCCTCCTCCTCCTCCTCCTCCTCCTCCTCCTCCTCCTCCTCCTCCTCCTCCTCCCCTCCTTCGGGAGTCCATCAGGAACTCATCCAGAACCCTTTTCGTGAATCATCCGGGAATCGCATGAATCCATCAGGCGTCCCGACGAATCCGCAGGAATCCATTTAGAAATTATCGAGACCCATCCCGAATCGATCATGAATCCGCCAGGACCGAATGAGGGTACCATCTGGATCCCCCAGACATTCCTAAGAAAATCCACCAGGACGAATTCCGGATGCACTCCTCCGGAATAGTCAGGAATCGCCAGGAATGCCGGAAGAGTCTTTAGGATCCACGATGAATTCCCAGGGAGTCCCCAAGGATTTCGAGGGAGCCTGTCAGGAACCTCCGAGGAACCTCAAAAAAACTCTAGTGAACTTTGAAGGAGCTTCCAAAATGGATGGGTTTGATATCATTCGTTTGGGATTGGTATTAGAATGTCTGGGGATCATTCTGGTTGGTTGTAGATTGGGGATTGCCCCATCTTCGGTTGACCCCCTGTTCCCAAACCGGGGAAGGTGACGGGAGTCTAGGATCCCCCCCCTTCCCTCCTCCAGGGGATTATTCGGACGGTCCAGATCCCCCCCTCGACGCCGTCGCCGCCGCCAGCAAAACACACGGACAATGACGACGCCGACGACGACGACGGACGATTCACGATGCACGACCCACGACCACGACCACGACGACGACGACGACGCCGACGCCGACGACCACGTCGACGACCACGCCGACGACGACGTCGACGCAGACGACGACAACACCGACAACAACGACGACGACGATGATTACAACGACGACGACAGAGACGACGATGAGCATCATCAGAGTTGAGAAGGCGTGGAGAGTGTATTCCAGGGGTGGAGTACGGTGAAGTAGAGCGAGTGGAGCAGGATGGTGCACGGTATAGTAGAGTAGACATAAGTGTAAAAGGGTACAGGGATATGTAGATCATATCAGAGTAGGGTCGAGCCGGTTAAAGAAGAGCAGGTGAGTAGAGTAGAGCAGAGAGAATGTAGAGTGGAGCAGAATTAGATAGAGTGGGGCAGGCATAGAAGAGTGCAGAGTAGAGTATAGCAGAGTAGGGTAGAGTAGAACAGAGGGAATGACCGTAGAGTAGAGTAAAGTAGAGTAAGGCAAAGTAGAGAACAGTAGCGCCCTAGTAGCCTAGCAGGTTGCTGTGAGAGCTGGATCGAACCCTGGTAGCATTCTATCGGAACCAGCGCCTGGCGCGGGCGCGGGCGACAGGTGCGCCGCCACCGCCGTCGGCGTCGTTGTAGGCGTGGTCGTCGTTGCCGGGGGGGATGGACCTCCCGAGTAGTAACTTGTTTTTTGGGGGAGGGTTCGGACCCTCCCGGATAATTTTCCCGGGCGGGGGGGGATCGTCCGGACCATCTGGGTCTTTGCCGGGGGGGAGGTTTGAGGAGGGGCCCCTGGTTCTGCCCGCCCCCCGCAAGATTTGTTTCAAGGGGGGGGGCATTGTTTTTGACCCCTATCATAGGCGTCGTTCAGGCCAGCCACGGTGGATCGCAAGGTCCCACCAGCGTCCAATCTTGCCGGTCCTTCCGACGCCCCGAGCATTCACCGCCATGCGTGCGACGCCCTCTGAGGCTGTCGGGGGCTTGGTCCAAGGGGGAGGTTGGAGTGAACAAGCTGGTGAGATCTTTGTCATCATTATTCTCCTCGCGCTTACCGCGTAATCCTTACAGTCGTCACAATTGCCCTTCCCATCATTGTCGTCGCCGTACTTTTCCTCATCATCCCGATCCTCCTCTTCCTCCTCAGCCTCCCCGTCTGTCTAACTCTGCTTCCCTCTTACCCATGATCCTGGCATTGGTCTTCCATTCGCATTGCCCTTATCCTCCGCTTTCTCATGGCTCAACTCATATTCATCATTATCGTATTCACCTCCTCGTCGTCATCATCATCAGCATTATCATCATTATTATCGTCTTCATTTTCATCAGCACCGTCATCATCCTACTCCTCGTATTCCCTAGTCTCTTCCCCCCCCTCGGCCTCAATGACCCCCCTCTCTTTCTCCACACCTGCATTATCTCTTGCCCTTTCCCCCTCCCTTCCTCTCCTCGTCCTCGCCGTGGGGCCAATGCCAGAACAGGCAGAGCACCTGCATTCGGTGTTTTTTTTTCAGCGGCGTTCACCAGCGAAGAAAGAACCACCACCACCACCACCACGTAGATGGGCTGCCCGCTCCCTCCCCCCATGCTGGTGGCACCGAGTTCCGTCCAGGCGCGTCCCCAGAGAGTGCCCAGAAAGGAATGCCACTAGCTCGGGGTGGGGCTGTTTGGAACGGAGTTCTTCGGGCTGGGCTAGAACGAGGATGAATCCGTTTCAGAGCGCTCTGGAACGCTCTCCGAGCGTTCCGGAACGCTCTGAGAAGGCGGCGGCGCCCGAGACATCCTCCAGATTCGCGGGATCTGAGATTTTCGATTCAGCCTCGCCCGATGTTATGTCCTTGTCCTGGCCTCGTCTCAGAGTTCTGTGGGGTTCTGGTGGTGTTGGCTGGCCTCGTCTTAGAGTTCCGGCCTCGCCCGATGTTAGGTCCTCGTACTGGCCTCGTCTCAGAGTCCTGTGGGGTTCTGGTGGTGGTGACTCTCGCCCGATGTTATGTCCTCATCCTGGCCTCGTCATAGAGTGTTAGCCTCGCCCGATGTGATGTCCTCGTCCTGGCCTCGCCTCAGAGTTCTGTGGGGCTCTGGTGGTGGTGGTGGCTCTCTCTTTTCCCTCACGAGGCGTGGCAGTGACGATGATGGGCGTGTTTTCCACCACCACCACAATAGTTGGAGGATTGGGGGTCCTCCTCCGCCTCCTCCTCCTCCTCCTCCTCCTCCTCTTCGTCCTTCTCCTCCTCCTCCTCCTCCTCCTCGCCCTCCTCCTCCTCCTCCTCCTCTTCGTCCTCCTCCTCCTCCTCCTCTTCGTCCTCCTCCTCCTCCTCCTCGCCCTCCTCCTCATTCCCCCCTCCAACTTGTGGTGGTGGTGGAAAACGGCCCATCAGACGATGTTTCAACGCGTCTGTGCTGCGGGCTCTGGCCGCGCCGGTGCGGCGGCGACCTCGGGCGCGGGCGTCCGCGGATGGACACCCCCCCGCCCAGTGGCTTGGAGTCGGGCGACGTCGAGGGGTCTTACGCCCCCAGCGAGCACAAGAGGAGCCCCTGGCCCAACACTAAGTCGGGCCTGCCCCTCCGCAGGAGGGGGTTTCAGAAATGGCCAACAGAATGATATGGAGACATGTTTTGAGTCTTTTCTGGGCTATTTGTTTTTTTGTGTTTGACTATTTCTTATTTGTCGCCCAAAATCCGCCTGTAGGGGGGCCCGCCCGACCTAAGTCGACGCCCATCGAGCACAAAAGGAGCCCCTCACCCTAACAACACGAGGCAGACGTGGCCTCGCTGAGGTCCCCGTCTTCGCATTAGGCGCAGTCATTCTGGGCGGTTTGGTCTGATGCATCTGCAGAAAGGAGTCCCTGTCCCTCACGTTCTCTCCGCCCTCTACCAAAGCCCCCAAGAGATCCGACGTTCCGACAAAAATTGGAGCGGGCGGCTTCTGGCAGTCTTCGGCCTCTGCGGGCTCCCGCCCGGCCTCGGGAGCGTCCAAACACGCTGCAGGACGAACGCCAGCCCTGTGCGGACCTCCGGGGCCCACGCCTCGAAACAGGGGGAGCAGCCGGAGGCCTGTGCTCCACGAGCCGCGGGTGGCCAGAAGAGGGGACCACGTGCGAACCCTGCCCCTCCCCCCCAGGATTTCTGAAGGGGGAGGGTGGGGTTCACTTCGTTCGGGAGCTCCCGAGCGAAGCGAACCCCACCCTCACCCCCTCAGAAATCGTGGGGGGTAGGGGTAGGGTTCGCATGTGGCCCCCTAATCGAGCAGTGGCGCAGCGCCCTGGCTCGCCTATAGCCAGCCCTACCAAACAATGTTCCAAGAGCCTTTTGTGGTTTCCAGGAAATGTGCTTGGAACATTTCTGGCTGGGACTGCCTTGTTTTACCACATCGAGGGGAGGGGCAGGGCTCGCACGTGGTCCCCTACAGAAAGACCCGCCGCGACGCCCTCGCGGCCCGAGCCCGCCGCGGATTCTGCCGCACTCGGCTGGCCGACCCGGCCGGTCCTGCCGCACCCTGTCTGGCACCGGACGGGCGGGGTTGGCCGCAACCGCGCGGCGCGCTCTGCCTTCGCTTCCCCCTTCCTTCCTCCTCCTGCTCCTCCTCCTCCTCCTCCTCCTCCTCCTCTCCTCCTCCTCCTCCTCCTCCTCCTGCTCCTCCTCCTCCTCCTCCTCCTGCCTCCTCCTTCCTCCTCCTCCTCCTCCTCCTCCTCTCCTCCTGCTCCTCCTCCTCCTCCTGCTGCTCCTGCTCCTCGAGCACCGACTCGCAGCGGCCCTCGTCCCTGGGCCGAGCCGCGCCGCGCCACTACACGGCCCTCCCCGCGCACTGCACAGAGCTCCGCCGCGAGGGCGAGAGCCCCGCCGAGGGAGGAGGACGAGAGGGGGAGGGATGCCCCGCCTGGTCGGTCCGGTTCCCCTCAGACCGAGTGCACGGACACCGCGGCGAGGATCCAGTTCACGGCATACTCAGAGACATCACCAAAACAAAACCAGCAATCAGAAGATAAGTAGATTCCCAAATCACTATACCCACTTCACATTCACTGACATAGCGTATCTCTGCTTACCAGAAGAAAATCCATGCTGTAAACCGCCGTGTCGCACACAGTAGATAATGAGGCCGAAGGCTCCCATCCCTCAAGAGACGAAAACTGGCTCAACTTCATGCGGCCCCGCAGGGCCTTGGCTGAGACTCTCGCGGCCCTCCGCGGAGGGCTGGGGCGGCTTACCTCCTGCGATGCTTCCTGCGCTGCCCCGTGCCCGCCTCCCCTCCCTCATCTTCGTCAGCTCCACCGTTCTTGAACTCCTGCAACCACTTGAGCAGCGGGCCGTCCAAGGTGCGTTGAGGGGACGCATACAACTGGTCATTACGAATGGCAAACAAATCTTTGAGCTTGGACCTGAACTCGATGTCGCACTGCTCCTGCATCATGAAAGCCCACACCCATGGGCGGCCCTCCTTGTAGGTCGGGTGGCGCGGCCGCGCACGAAAGATAATATTGTCCAGGATCTGAGGGGTGATCGCGGCGTACTTGGCGACCAGGGCCTTGGACTCCGCACTCACCTCGGCGCTGGCGTCCAGCTTCTTCTGCAGCAACTCCATCAAGCACTTGAAGATCACCGAGCGCTGACTTCCACCGAGCTGGTGCGGCCTCATCTCCTTGGGCGCGCCCATGCCCACGTCATCTCCGCCACCTCCCACCTCGTCGCGCCTGGCCTTCTCGTCCGTGCGCCACAGGTCCCGCAGGGTGCTGACCGTCTTCTTTTCCTCTTCGCCCTTGACGATGATCACGAAACTGGCCCGGTCCTCCAAACAGCCCACGCGACGGTCCAGCGAAATCAGAATCGGCGCTATCTTCCGCACCACCGTGTAGGCCGAGGCCTTGCTGGGGTCGTCGCCTCTGCCACGACCGCGAGCCTGCTGCTGCGGAGGGCCACCACCATTGGACGATTCCGCTGCTGCCACCAGAGCTAAGAGCGACATGGGTCGGTGACCCTGGGAGTAGAAAGCCAGTTCGTCTCGGAGAACACACCAGTCTCGATAAGCTCGAGCATACACAGCTACAGCGGGAGGCCCGAAATTTTGCGGTGGTGCTGACAACGCTGAAAGTGCTGAGTGAGGTTGTGTTGCTTCTCGAACTTGGTGTTGCAATACTTGCACTGGAATTGCCATGACGCGATGCTTGCCTGGGTATGCTGCTTGTCTCTGCGTGCTGCGCGATGCCGAACCCCCTTCACCCATACCTCGAACGGCGCGTGCGTGCACGTGTAGATATGATCCATCGTGCTCACCGACTGGCCACAGTACTTGCACGAGAACGTCGCCCCCCTGGTGCTCACCTTTTTCCTGACCTTCGTCTTGGCAGTAGCTTTTGCTAGACGACGACCACGATGAGGAGGGGCCTTCGGCTTGGGGTCCTGCTGTGGGGGTCCATGTCCTTGGTCTCTGGGAGCATCTCGTGGGGGCTGTTTCCCTCGGTACCTCCTCCTCCTCGTATTCGGCTGCTCTCCTCCGCCTCCTCCATCCCCACCTGCATCTCCTCCTCCTCCTTGCTGCCCAGGGTGGGGTAGTCCAGGTGGGGGTCCCGCGAGAGGCCGTGGTGCCGTAGGCTGCTTGCCTCGGATCCTTCTCCTGATAGGTGGGGCTCCTGGGAAACTGGGACGGTGAGCACACTTGCGGACATGGTCGGCATACGATCGATTCGATATCACCACGTTGCAATGCGGGCAGACCTGGGACGATGACATGAGACGTTGTTTTTCTGGCCGAAGCTGACCTGAACAATGTCGTACATGCTTGGCATAACCATTTGGGTGCAGGTGGTCGCCGCACTTCGGGCACACACGCAGCTGCGCACCACCGTGGCCCGTCGTCTCCACCCTCGCCGCGAGCTGGGGGTTCTCGGCAGGCGGTCTGTCGCCAATCTCGGCGTTGGCGGCGGCATAGGCGCTGGCATGGACCTCCTGCTTGACCTTTGCTGCTAGCGCCGACCACTGCTTGCCTGCCTCGATCTGCGCCACCTCTCTCCAACGAGCGTGCCACTCGTCCACTGGGATCTGGGTCTTGGCCATCACGCGCTGGATTTGTCGCCAGTACCATTGTCGTAAATGAAGGTGTTGTCCTGAGGGCTCGGCCCGCCCGGGGCGATCCGCCAACGCTGCTCCCAGCATCCGAACTTCCCAACGGCTGGCGTCGTAGCGGCCCAGGTGGCCCAGGTAGGAGACAGCGCGATGGGTGACCTGCACCTCTAGCAGCTCGATCCCGAACCACTCGTAGAGCATCGCCATGCTTATTTTCTTGGTCTGCATCTGGCGGAGCGTGAGACCACGAGCGCGATAGGCCAAGTATCGGACGCAGCTGCCCACGAACGCCTGCATGCGGTCCAGGTCCTTGGCCGAGTACGCCCTCACCTCGCTGCCATACAGGAGGCAGCCCAACACCGCTGCCGTGAAAATCTGGCCCTGAGCTTTCAGCGGAAGGCGGGCTGCACTGAGCTGGTACTTCAATTTGGCCCAGACCTTGGAGGCTGCTTGGATCCGCTTGCTCGTGTCCATCCTGGCTCCCCCATCGGTGTCGACCCAAGCCCCCAAGACACGCACGGTGTGGTGAAAACCCGCTGGAAGCGTGCTGGTCACGTCGTAGACCCCTGTCCTCAGAAACTCGTCCTTGCCAGGATGCACCTCCTCGCCTCGGTCGCCCAGCGTGTCGAACACGATCTGCTTGGTGGTGTCCAGATGTTGGGCCTCGGTCCACGACGACGTGTCGTCGGCAAACCCCATGACACGGAGAGTTTCCTGGGTAACGTCGTCGGGGTCTCGCCAGGACTGTCGACCCATAGCACACCGAAGCCTTTGCGAACAGAGGAGATTGATGCCAGGTAACTTGGCTAACAGCTCGGTCAGGGAGTAGTTGTGGTAGACGTTGAACAAACCACAAGAACTGGCACATCCTTCCCGTAATCCTCGATGCAGGCGGTAGACTGAGGAGGTGCCGTGGCATAACTTGACCTGATACTCCGTCTCGGTGTGTAGGCGGCGAAACACTGCAACAATCGTCGGCGGCAGACCTTCGATCTCGAGGGCTTCCCAGAGAGGTTCTCGGGGAACAGTCGGGTACGCCTTCTTGATATCTGCCAGGTACAGAACTGCCCGCTTCTTTAGAAAAGTGTCGTGCGCCTGTTCCCACTCGTCCCTGTGGTTGTCCCACGTCCCCGCCCTTTCGAACGCTGCCCTGGAACGGTGGAGGTGTAGCTCCCATTCGGCATATAGCTCGCATATCACTCGGGTAATGAAAATAATATCCCTGGTGGAGCGCCCTCTGCGGAAACCCCACTGCTCGTTGACAAACAGTTTCTGGTTCTCGAAATACTGCGTAGCACGAGTGATCGCTATCTTGGCAAGAATTCGTGTCAACATCGTCAGAAGGCAGATCCCGCGATAGTTGTCGAGCGATGTCCGTGATCCCTTCTGCTTCCACAGCATCAATACTATGGCCTGGTGTGCCGCTGGGTTCCAGTGCGGTTGGGCCCCCCTCTTCGGCGCCTCCTCCCACATAGCAACAATTACCTCGAAAACCCGCTGCTGCGTCGTGAGCGGAGCGTTCCTCAGCATGTCGATGGCCACCTCGTCGCCTCCTGGGGCGGAGACCCGCATGCCCTTCATCGCACTGACGAACTCGGCAAACTCGGGCAGCGCGTCGAGGTCCAGGGCGGGCGGCTGCTGAGGCTTGTGGGCTGCAACACGGACTCGGGGGGTAGCCTCGGTCCCGCTGATCGCTTCGAAGTGTCGGCGACAGTCCTCTGGTTTGATGGTTTCGACATCCTGGAAATTCGTATCCTTGAGCGTGACCCCCAACTCCTTCAACAGTCCAAATTGTCGGCCCACCTCGTGATTCTGATAGGCCCATTGTATATCGCTGCAGAGCTCCTTGATGACCTGACCCTTTTTGCGGAACTCGAAACTCCTCTCGGCTTTCTTGACCTGGGCGTGGCGCACCTTTTCCTGGGGAAACTCGGGGGTACCTTTGGCTCGCTGCACCTGACGATAGCTGGCAGCAACTCGCTCGCGACTCTTCATCAGATCGGGGCGACACTTCTCGAGACACGGCAGGTCGCAGCGACGACTCCCTCGCCCCACTACCTCCTCGGCAACGTCGACGAGACTCTTGGCAACTTCGCCCCACTCGGGTGGTTCGACTCGGGGGGCACTGGCAAAGTCGGTGTCGATCGTCGTCAATTTCGTCATCCATTTCTGTCGCAGGTCCTGGGCGGTGTCCCCCATCCCCCGAGCACGGTCCCATCGAAGAGGTTTCTTGGGCTGGTCGGTCTGGTGGGCCTGGAGTTGTCGCCGTCCTGGGAGAAGAGCACGACCAAACGGGAGAAACGACAAAAACTTCCCACGGTGGTCGCAGCCTGCAAATTCCATCGTCGTCGCTCGGCGCCATCGTCGACGAGTCCCCCCGAAGGTAGATAGAAACACATCTTGCTCGTACCATCGCTTGGTTACCCCATGAAACCATGTGCCACGCCTCTTGCATGGTATGTACGAATCCACTGCACGAAGACTCTCGCCCTGGGCCCAG